GAAGAGACTGCCTCTTTAGCAAATGGTGCTGGGATAACTGGATATCAATATGCAGGAGAATAAAACTACACCCACACTATTCACCATACACTAAAGTCAACTCAAAATGGATTAAAGAATTAAATATACACCCTGGAACANCACAGTATTTACAAAACTGTTGATGGGAAACTGTAAAAAAAGCAAAAAATTCCCATGTAATGACATATGGCCCATAGATTATATCCAAGAGATAAAAGCATGTAGGTAAAGATGACAAGAAACAGTTTTTAAAGAGCTGAAAGTCATTGTCTCAGGGAATCAGCTATGATGGAAAGAGTGTTTAGGAGCTTGCAGCTTTTAATCAGATTTTCAGCAATAAGACTTCTTAAACGACTTTTAAAAATTACCTGCACGTTTTAAAATTTTTTAATTTACAAAAATAAAAAGAACTAAAATCCTGAAGACAAGTAATGCCCCTTCCCATAACCTAAAAGATGTCATTAATATAACATCCAAATGTTCCATAAGCACTAATCTATTCAGCATCTTCCTATCTTAATGACCCCTCTGTGTTGGTCTTCTGTCTTTTATATGCAATCACAGTACTTCACTTTACATCCCAAGCCTCATTACCTTCAGTCAGTGGCCCATAATCGGATGTAAACTGTTTGATGTAATGTAAACTGTTCTCCACACAATTTGAACATCACTGACGATCAAAACACCACTAACGTTTTCAGTTCACGTGTACTGCAATGATGGTTCTTCAAATTCAAGGTAGTCATGGCCAATAAAACTACCTAATAAGTGCAAAAATTGGATACTTCTTTTCAGTAAAGAACAAATTCCAATAAAATATTTGACTACCTAGGAGGATCAATTTTATCATTTTTTCAAATCCCGAGAAATAACATTTTACTTAATCTTAAAGATCCAGTACTGAAGATCAAAATCTTTGGGTTATTTGGGAGATTTTTGGGGGAGATCAAGAAGTTATTAAGTAGCACTGGCGGAAGATGCACGCTCTAGAGAGTACATTACAGAACCTTGTAGCAACGGGTTCTCAAGAGCTACCTGAATAGGTGGAAACCAGTACAGGACCCTAACAGGCCCTACACAATCCCCACCTACCTACCCTCCCATCTCATCTCCCATTCCAGTTCCCCCGCTCGTGCACTCTGTCCCCAGTAGCTTTCTTGCTGTCCTACACCCATGGGCATTCTCACTTCGTTGCTTATGCTATGGCAGCTCATTATGTTCATAATCATATGTTGGGCACCTACTATGTGACAGTCATGGTGAACAAGCACTGGAAAATACAGGATGAAAAAGAAATAGGACATTAGTGGAAAAACAGGTGATATCTGAATAAAGTCTGTGGTTCAGTTAATAGCATTGCACCAAAGTTCATCTTTAAGTTTGATAAGTGCACCATGGTTATGTGAGATGTCAGCATTGGGGGAAGCTGGGTGAAGAGTACACAAGAACTTTCTGTGTGCTTCTACAACTCTTCTTAATATTTAGAGTTGTTTTACACAAACAATTTTTTTTAAGCCAGATGCAGTTTCTGCTTTCAGGAACTCAGATTCTAGAGGAAAAGGTGGGGACGTGTAAACAAATGAGTCACAAAGAGCGGTTCTTCCAGGCCAGGAGCCATGTTCAGGATAGGATGAGAGGTGGAAGGACCCAGCCTCAGGGACCTGGGTTCTGCTGAGCCTACGACCGTTTGGCCTCCTGAAGCCTTCGCTTCCTCCCCTGCTAAATGGGCACTAGGAGACGGACACGGCTGGCGGGGATGAAGGCGTGAGAGGGACCCGCAAGCGAAGTCCCCGGAGGACCGCGCCTGCCGCCAGCAGCCAGGCCGAGCAGCGCCTGCCGCCCTCCGCGTGACGCACCTGGAACTCCAGCCCGTAGATCACCGGCGCATCGTCCTCCATGCTGCGGAAAGGAGGCCCGAGCCCGGCCGTTCACACGCTAAGGCCCTCTCGCTACAGCCCGCCCGTCCCCACCTCCGAAGGTGGATTCCCAGCGCCCATTCATTCCCTCTCCGCAGCAAACGCTTCCGAACTGGAACTCTTTCTGATCCATACCAGCTCCCGTAGGGTCCACTTCCTATTTTTCTCAATGCGTCATCAATTCGTTCCCTGACCGCGGCCAATGGCAGCGGCGCCGGCCTCTCGCGCATGCCCATTTGGGCTCTCATCCGGGCTCTCAGCCGCGCGGGCTGCAGGAGAGAAGGAAATGGAGTGGTGGGCGGGGCGGGGAGATTGCGGAGGCGGCCCCTCGGGCGCAGGGCTGTGGGTTGTGAGCGATGCTCCGCCCCAGCTCCCAGTTGAAGGCCTTTCAATGTCTCTTCTTGCGTTTTCCCTACGCCATTAGCTCAGAGAGAGGCGCTGGAGCTGGGACGCTGCCCTTGGTGGTCAGTACTGTTACTGCCACGTGCATTCGCGAGCGCTGGTCCGACGCCTTACACGCACTACCCTTAAGATCTTCGCGGGACTCATGAACAAGCTACATCCACGTTACAGATTAGCGCTGCAAAATTGAGTAACACAATCGCGGTCGCGCAGGTAGTCGTTTGGGGAGCTAGGATGCGCATCTGAGCTGTCAGACTCCCCTAGGCTTGCCTAGCATTACTAAAGTCAGGGGCCACGCCTAGTGCATCTCCTTAGGCGCCCAGCACGTTGTGTGGGAAAGCGTGACACCACCCGGGATGGATAATACACTAAAGTCCGCACCGCACCACCGGCAGTCTTGGACCAGCCTTTGTCTCAATGCAATGAAGGGTCCAGGTGGAGAGGTCGCACCTCTTATGCAGCCTGCCTTGGCGTTGTCTTCTCTTGGAAGACAGGAATGATGTTGCATAAAATCCAAAACATATACTAACTAAGCCCCATCACTAGTCTGGTTCCACTCGGGTTTCCAGGCCTTATCCTCCGTTTTTGTAATTTTTTCACTTTTGCCTCTACCTTTAATTGATCTTCATAACAGAAATGGTTGGAGCTGGTTTTATTCAGGCAAAGAGTTTGTTAAAGATTATCTGAGGCCATTGTTTTGCATTATTCCTGCACTAGGTCCCAACAGACCAGACTAAAAACCAAAAGGGAGTTAACCCCTGCTAAGTTCTGTGCCACTTAAGTTGTGGTCTGACCGTCCCAGAAATCAGGAGAAAGAAATAGCCAATAACCCAAACAGGCCAGTTTAGAATTCAATAGTTAACGATAAGGAAGTTCCTTCTGCTTTAATCCTTACACAAAAGAGATAGGCTGAAGTACTCTGACATTAACTAACCAGTTATTTTTCTATTGTTCTGTCTCCCTGACCACATCTTACAAAGGAAGTGTATTAGTCCAATTCTGTTGCTTATAACAAAATACACAGAACTGAATAATTTATAAGAAAACTGAATTTATTGCTTACAGTTTCTGAGACTGGGAAGTCCAAAGTCCAGGGAATACATCTGGTGAGAGGATTCTTGGTGGCAGCAGTGACGGCAGAGTACACATTGTGAAAAATGGTGGAGCAGGGAGACAGATAGGTCCTTATGCACTATCCTTTTAAAGCCTCACTGTCATGCCCATGACCACCATTTTTAATCAGTTCACTATGGCATGGTCCTAGAATCTAATCACTCTTCAAGGCCCTAACTTTCAATTATTATAATAGGACTTCCCACCCTCTACAGTTACAGTGATGATTAAGGCTCAGTGAGGTTGGGGGAGGCCTCCAGTCTACAGCAGAAAGAAACTTGAAATGACCAATTCGCTTTCTGTTCTTTCTTCCTGCTTTCTTCAGCCTTCTCTGTCTATAAAGCCTTTGTTATTTGTAATAAACTCCAGAGTACTTCTCTGTCCAGGGTCCATCCTCACATTTGACTCCCAGTAAATTTTACAAAATTGTTTCTGCTTCGACAGCCTTAATTTTGGTCAAGTTAAAACTCGATGAAAATTTGTTGAGTGAATGAGGAGACCTTAGCGATTACATTAGAAACCAAGTAAGCAGAGGCCCAGAGGAGAATCCTATTCAACGGCTCCGTTTACCAAGATTAAGTTGCAGAGCTAACAGAACGCAGGGTTTTCATACTTCTGGGTTAAATCCACCCATCTATCATTGATTATTAGTTGTACCATCCTGTTGTCAGTTATTATTACACAAGTAGTACAGATGCATGGTTGGAAACAGTGAAAGAACGACAGGACCCGAGCTGACAGTTCACCAGAGAAGTTCTGCTTTATTTGAG